CATCACTTAATCATCTTTCGTGCAGTAGGTCATCGTATCTTGTACATGTATGTCAGCAATAAGGGACTGCATACAATCCTGATATTCTATAATCTCTGCCAACCAACTGACTTATTCATAGTAATGTAGTGTTTAGTTTCACTATACATGTACATCTATGTATCGTTGTTTGATGGAAATCAATGTATTATTTTTTCACAGGATTCAGTCTTCAGGAGCTACAATCTACACCATAAGAGACCCTCTGATGAAACGTTGATGGACGAAGATTTGAAGAAGGCCTTGACGATCTATCCTGTGAGTGAACAACAGACTGTCTATCTTTTGCATAAACACTTCTCAGAAATTGAACTGAACAAGACGTATGCCCAGATTGAAGATTTACAGATATCAATTATGAACGTGAGTAAGTTTTTACCAGGTGGTGAAGAGTCGCTGACCTGGCCGATTGGATACCCTTCCTCGTACAAACCAAAGTCACGCTTTGATGTAATAGTCTGGGAGTATTTCACAGAGACCCACATTTATGGTAGCACAGAAAATGACCCAAAGTTGCCACTTATCGGGGCTGATAAGCTAGACGTAGATGAGATCATCTCCACAGCTGTTGAGAAATTCAACCAAAAGTACGACCACATCTTCACCTATCATAGTCTGGTTAATGGATACCGTAGATTTGATCCAGTACGTGGTATGGAGTACACACTGGATCTGGCTCTTAACAAAAAGGGAGAGAATAAGATCATCCACAAGCGCTGTCACCTGCTGAGGCCCCTCAGTAAAGTGGAGATTATCCCAATGCCTTATGTTACTGAGAATTCACGAGTGAACATTGTGTTGCCAGTACAGATTCATGATAGGGAAAGGTTCACTAGTTTTATTGAGAGTTATGCGCAAGTCTGTCTGGAAACACACGATAACACAGTGTTGATGACGGTCTTTGTCTACCAACCTGCACACGCTAAAGATATGAAAGAAAACGATATATTCCAAGATCTAAAGTCATTACTGGGTTACTACGAGAAAAAATATCCTGGGTCCCAGCTCCCTTGGGTTAGCATTCAAACTAACATCCCCTCACCATTTGCAGTTATGGAAGTCGTCTCGCCCAAGTTTCCAGAAAATTCTCTCTTCTTTCTCGCATCTGTGGATCTAGAATTGTCTATGGAATTTCTCAACCGATGTCGGATGAACTCCATACAAACTTGGCAGGTTTACTTTCCGATGCCGTTTGCCTTATTTGACCCTACAATTGTGAATACAAAATCACCACAGTCGGTTAAAACAGACGTATCCAAAGACAACGGCCACTTCGATATCTACATGTATGATTATGCTGGGTTCTACAATGCAGATTACAACAATGCCATGGCACTTTGGAAAGAGAAGCATCCAAACCTCGATCACATGCACTCTGACACAGACTTCTATAACATGTTCCTGAATCTGAAAGTACACGTTTTTCGAGCCGTGGAGCCATCGCTGAAACGTAAATATCGTCCTCGGGTATGTAACCCAGTACTGAGTGAAGACTACTACAGACGGTGCCAGCAGAGCAATTCCGAGGGTATCGGATCTCGGTCACAGCTTGCAAACTATTTATTTGAACAAGGTGTTTTAACATAAGAATTTACGATTCACAATTTCATCATTCATTCATGTATGTATGTACTGCCTGGCACAACAGACAACAGGGAACTTTTCAATTATATCAAATGTAATATATTTAGGATTTGCCAGCTGAGATCCGTTTTTATCGAATTTGTGAAACCATATGAGCAGATGCTTATTCAAACCTTGAACTTGAATACTTTGTATTGTATATTTTTTCTCTTAATAAATTGTCTAAGTATACTTACAAGTTTTATATGAAATATTAATTTGAAGTCACACTGCCATTTGACCTTTCAACCAAAGTCTGAACAACTGTGTTAATTACGCTGTGTCACAATTTATCGATTATCAAGTTATAACAAAACTACCTGTAAATAAGTTAAATGTTTCTGATTTTATCACCTGATGATGTTGGTGCAGAATTTACTTCATGAAAGCGATTCACTGTCTGAGAGTTTTCACTGCTACAAAGCTTTATTGAGCCAAGAACATTTTTCTTATGAAATTGAGGTGATTGACTGTAGTTTCATTTCTGTACTTTTCAAAATTGTCGTTTTTGCCATTTAATTTAATACCTCATTCATCAGTGCACAAAGTTATGTTTCTTTTTTTATGAACAAAATATATGCCAGTGTAGTTACATTTCTACACACATAAAATGTTAATAATGTCTATGCTATGTATATGTAAAACAGTACCTAGACAGGTAGAAAATGCATTTTTGGTTTATTATAGTAAAAATTCATTTTTCCCCCTCTTTGCATGTTATTATCGTAAATATACATCATGTCACATGACATTTCACATTATGCTTACTCATTTGCCACCACAAAAGTAATTATTGCTCAGTATTACATGGAATAAAAATATGGCAAAATTTGTGAAAAAACACAGCTCATGCACCTCATTCGTTCACATCATCCATCTTAAATGGGCATTATTACTCTATTATTATGATGGATTTACAATCAGTACTGCCATTACATTTATGATCTTGACAACAAATTGTACACACCATTGGTTTCTTTCTATCTTTAATCAAAGATTGATGCAGAGGTACTGTCACACGCAACGTAATATTACCGTAATTGGTATAGTACAGGTGTGATGGTTCAAATACCAAAATGGCAACAGTAACAGAAAGACTTCCCTGGCGGCGATGATAAAATACGAACACTGAGCCAACAGATGAGGTTTCAACTGGTACTGGTATTATTATACTCTGCAAACATCAAGTACAATAACGCGGTAAAACTCCACTACTCCAATAACTAGATACTTAAACTCCAATACAATTCAACGAGATCTCCGATCTGATCTCAGTGCTGAACAACTCCCCTATATATACCCACACTGTCTATAAATAGACCATTACATCAGCATACATAATGAGTCTGGAACTTACTACAAATTTCTAGAATGTTCCATTACCTTCTATTGCCTTCTACAGTGTCCTATTACCTATTCAACCAACTTCTAAAAATTCCACCCAGACACAGTACGGTTCTAGAACATTCTCAGTCACACGGAAGTGGTAAATAAGTCGTATGCGACAGGTACAATGTAAGAAAATCCAACTTTAGCAATTGATTTCAAAATGCAAATGAGTACATGAAAAAAATGGTCTTGTATCAGGCTGTTTTTTTAGTCTCTTTGTTGGGTTCTTGTCTTCTAGAATAGGGTGAATTTCTTGTTCCACAGTCAAACTTTTCCTTGGTTTGCTGTCAGTAACCATGCTGTTTTGTGATGGTATTGGTGAGAACAAGTTTTTATAACCATGCACATAGAACACTTACCCCATTTGAATTTTCACCGTATATCACTGTAAATGGTTATTATGAAAGTTATTTACCCTTATCTTTATTAAACTGGATTAATTTTATAAAAAAAAAGATACTTAATTCAGGTATGTATTTAAAAAGCAAACTGTGTTGTGTCGATTACAGTAACAGTTACAGTGAAAGTAAGTGTGTTTGCACACATTCCTACTTACCATGGGTAATTCTGTATTTCCGTGAATTCAGATTGGAACCTTAATAAATGTTTTTGTTTATTTATTTTACAGCATTATTAATCACAATGAAAATTAATTGTCCACATGATTTTATTTCCAGCGAGATTGTTGGCCCATAAAATGTATTTTTAAGGTCTATGGTTTGACACGGGAATTGTCACGTTCACATTATTATGTGCTAATTTTCTGTTTATTAATTTGCATTACATGAGTGATGACTTCTATTAATTTTAATTGAAAGAGCGCAAGCTGAAAACTATATCCTTCAGAATAAAATTATGTATACACAGTGTATGCAAATATGAAATAATTGAATAAGTATTCACTTGAGTGTGTCTGTGAGTGTGTTTTTCTTGTTAACATTGTTAAGAATTCCATTTAACTTTACACCTACCAAGTGACGGCAACCTGCCAAGGGACGACCCTCACAATATTTGATTGAATTGAAGT